ATAAAAAAATGGTGACAACAATAATATTCCCACAACTAACGCTTTCTGAACACTTTAATAGGCCCCAGGCATGTGCCAATAGATTTCATGTTTGATCCTTTCCAAAGCCCCACAAGGTGGAATCTCCGTTCTACCCAGGAGAAAAGCAAGGCCTGCCACCTGCCCCACTCCCCCTGCTGCTGAGAGGCGGTGCGGTGATGTGAGGGCTGGCAGGCTGATCATAGAGTTGCTCTCATCTACCGCTGTAAGACCACCCAGCTAGAAAGCCCGCACTGACAGAATCTGGGAAGGAGACCAGAACTCTGTGACACAAATCTTAAATTTTGAGGCTGCCTTACTGAGAGCAGAGGTAAAAATGCAGCTAGAGTTTATTGCTCTCACCACGAGTGGCTCTTCCTCAGGTCATCCAATTAAGACTTAGCCCTGGCTTTTCCAAAATAGGTTCCTTAAGCTAGCTCCTGGGTGCTTTTCGGTCATTATTTCTGCTCCTGTGTGCTTTTTTCTCACTGCGTTTCAGGATGAACGTTTATTTTATATATACATGAATACAGGTTACACACACACCTATATACAAAATGTACAGGTTATAAGTGTACAGCTTACTAAATTTGTACAGACTGATTGCACACATAGAACCAGCATCGAGGTTAAGAAGCAGTGCTTGCCCTGGACTCTGGGGCCCTTCATGTACCCTTCTGCAGTCTCTTACACCATCCACATCAATTTGTCAAAACAACCAGTTTTAAATTTTATAAAATGAGATCTCGGGCTGGAATTTTGCTCTGGACAGGAAGCAAAATATAGATATGTGGTAAGCCTGGGATGGTGACTGAGAGAGCATGGCTGTAGTTAGACAGATTCGGTCTAGAATCCCAGCTCTAGCCTTCCCTAGCTGTGTGCCTTTTGGGAACACGACTTAACCTCTTTAAGAAAAGAGATTTATAACTGGAATGAATAAAATATTATAAGCAAGCCGAATACGATGCCTTGCACAGAGTTTATTACGCTCCAGAGCAGGTGTTGGCAAATTAGGGCTTTCTGTATTGTCAATAAAGTTCTATTGAAACTAAGTCACATTCATTCATTGTTTCCTGTCTGTGGCTGCTTCTGTATTACAAGGGCAGATATGAATAGTTATGGCAGAGACCCTCTGGCCTGCAAAACCTCCATATAGTATTGACTAGCTGGCCCTTTACCAAGAACGTTTGCTGGTCGCTCCTTTAGAATGTGAGCCATGTACACTGTGGTACCACAAGGACTGGGATGGCCGGGCATGTGCTAACCACTCCTGTGGATGCTTTTTTTGCATTATACATGACAAACACTATATCTTTATGTCATCACCACTGGTTTTTCTGAATTTGGCAGCTGAACGTATACCTATATAGTACTAGAAGGAAGCAGTGAAATCGTTACAATCAACCTTGATAAAATGAAAGAAGTCATCCCAGGGAGAGCAATAGGTTTGTAAATATTCTAGCAAAAAGAAGCCCGCACAGATACAGCAGAAGGCACTGAGCTCGGAGTCAGAGGAACAAGACCAGAATCTGAGCTCTGCCATTAGCTAGCTAGCTGGCTGACCCAGATAGGGAACAGGTCTCAGAGTCTCAGTCCCCTCACCAGTAATTCACAGTTTAAAAAGGAACTCCAGCGGGGACGGAACAGGGCACGACTAACCGAAAAAGCCGTGAGGACCCTGCAGTAATTCAGGCAGGGTTGTCAAAAGAAAATGAAATACCAGATCTTCAAGGGCTTTGAAAATCACTATTTTCACATAAAACAAGCTTATGAAACAATGTTCTATAGAACTTGCTACATCCTATAATTATTATTTGTGTCCTCATCTGTCTTCCTGCACTTCTAATGGAGACCATTAACTACTTCTCGCGGTCACCATAGATCACGTGTCTTCTACAGGACGAAGTGTGATGGCTGACACAGTGTAGGCACAACATCATTCTTAGATGAATTAATGCACCTGGAATTACATCCGGCCCCTCGGTGGTCATTTGCCACATCAGAAAAAGGACCGGGAGTCAGGGAAGCTTCAATGTAACGTAAGCACTAGAAAATGGACAAAGAGTATTTAGAGGTAGGAATACGTTAAGAAAAACAAAATTTGCGCCCATTTCTAGGTACAAGACAGATTCACTCATTCACCACATCCCTCCTCTCCGCCTTCCCTGCAATGCCGCTTCTCTTGCTCGAAGGTTCCCTCTCCAGTGGAGGTGGTGGTGGTGGTGGTGGTGGTGGTGGTGGTGGTGGTGGTGGTGGTTGGTGGTGGTTGGTGGTGTGGTGGTGGTGGTGGTTGTTGTTGGTGGTGGTTGTGGTGGTTGTGGTGGTTATTATTGTTGTTGTTGGTGGTGGTGGTGGTGGTTGAAACGCTGGTGTTTCCCTCTTGCCTCCTATTCACATCCTACTCTCTCATCTAGTTTCAGAGCTTCAATTACTATTTAAAGTAATTGTAGGTTCTTGGTCTTCAGCTGGGATCTCCTTCCTGTGCTCCACGAGATACGGCTATGGGTACTACCCACTGGACATCTCCAGGGTCGCCCACTCCTTGTGTCCCCATGGGACTCGTGCCTTCACCTCTTCGTGGACATGGTCTCTCTGAGGCTTTGCCTCTCCAGGAACTGGTGCCACTGGCCACCCAAATGGCAAACTGGGAAAACCCACCAGCACTGAGTCCTCTTTCCCTCACACGCCATTCCATTCAATCATATCCCTAACATCCCCCCCCCCCAATATCTCTTGAAGTCACCCCCCTCACTTCCCTCTAACCCTCCCTGTGATTCTCCCTCGGTCCAATTTGCATCACCTCCCACCTGAGATGCTAGGAGCTCCTGACAGTTTGCAGACCCCAGTCTTGTTCCTTTCCAATGTGACCACAAGGCTCACAGCGTGTTCCCTTTAAAACGCAGACATAGTTTCCCAAACGCATTAGCTGGGAACAGAACTGTGCCACCCAACCCTGCAGACGCCAGCTGCGTGCGGCTACTGAGCACTTGGAATGTGTCAAATACACACCAGATTCGAAAACTTAGTGCAAAAATGTGTAAAATATCTTATTTATAGTTTTGGCATTGATTATATGTTTAGGATATATTAAACTATATAAACTTTTTAAAGTTACTTTTACTTTTTAAACCATTTTTAAAGTTATTTTTACTTTTTAAACCATTTTTAAACGTAACTATTAGAAAATTTGAAATGATGTATGTGGCTTACATTTCATTTGGACAGCAATGGAACAAAATGTCCTTACCCTTCAAGTACTCCCCCCCTCTTTTTCTCTCCCTCCCCTTCCCCCTGCCCTTCCCCTCCCCCCCCCCCCCCACTCTCTCTCTCTCTCTTCCTTCACCAGAGCCCTCTCCCCCTCACTTCTACACTCCATCTGATTTGCAGGTTGCTGAATGGACCACCCAGTTTTGCAGTATCTGGGGCGATGTCCTGAACACAAATGTTGTTTGTTGTCCCCACTGTCCAATGCCCCCTGGCTCCAGCGCAGCACCCGTCATCTGCCCTGTACCAGTCACTGAATAAACTTGGTGCCCTGCCTGGGTTATACAGTCTCTGCATCTTACTAATATTGAATCTCCAACAAACATTCTAGGGACTCACCAGGTAATCAATGAAAGAATGAACAGAAATGCTAACAATGAACTTGTAGTCTAAAAGGATGTCTAATAAAAGACAGATTCAGATATAGCCTAAAAGGTGACATCAGTCAAAAGATAGATACCGGTACATATATTATATATATATATAAAATTCTCATTGAATTTGCTAATGCTGTGCTCACATTACTTTTAGAAAAAGATTAAAAACACTTTCTGGGTATTCTTCCTCTCTATATATGCCATATTGTTCTTTTACAACATAGCTTACTGTTTTATATATATATATTATATATATATATATATATATATATATATACTCACACCCAACATAGCTATATATATTGTTCTTTTACAACATAGCTTACTGTTTTATATATATTATATATATATATACTCACACCCAATATATATATATATATATATATATATATATATATATATATATATATATATATAACAGTAAGCTATGTTGTAAAAGAACAATATGACATACAGGATGGGCACAAGTAGGTTTATAGTCGTTCACATGAAAATCCTATATAATAAAAGGCTAATATGCAAATTGACTGAACAGCAAAATGGATTGCTATGATGCACACTGACCAGCAGGGGGCAGACGCTCAACACATGAGCTGCCCCCTAGTGGTCAGTGCACTCCCACAGGGGGAGCACCACTCAGCCAGAAGCTGGGCTCACAGCTGGCAAGCCCAGGGGTGGGGAGTGGGCCTAGGCTGTTAGTCGGACATTCCCCAAGGACTCCTGGGCTGCCAGAGGGACGACTGCCAACTTAGGCTTGATCCGCCGGGGAGTGGGCCTAAGCTAGCAGGTGGACATCTCCCGAAGGCTCCCAGATTGCAAGAGGGTACAGGCCAGGCTGAGGGACACCCCCCCCCCCCCCGAGTGCATGAATTTTGTGCACTGGGCCTTTAATAATATATAATAATCAATAAATAATAATACAAGCTGGTAAATTATGGCATATGCATCCACTGGAATGGCATAAAACTATTTTAAAAAGGAGGAAATGAATTCTATGTCCTGAAAAGGAAAGATCTCTGTGATATGTTAATGTGGGACAGTAGGGAAAGTATGAGTGTGTGTGTGTGCGCACGCGCAGACTTTGATCAGAAGAATACATAAGAAATTGGTAATGGTCCCTGAGGGAGAAATGAGGGAAAGAGTGAGAGGGAGATAGCCTTCATGTATATTCTCTTTGAATTTGCTAATGCTATGCACTCATTACTTTCAGAAAAAGATTAAAAATGCTTTCTGGGTGTTTTTCCTCTGTATATTTCTGTATGGTCAAAAAAGATCCTGATTACTCCCTTCTCCCAAGTCAAACAGATAATAAAATAGCAACATCAACATGGCATCCCCTACCGTGATCTTCTTGTGGTCAGGAAACTCAAGGCCAAAATAGTCGCCCTCCACGAGGTTGAGGTGGTTGCACACCGCATCCAGCAACACTTTCCCCGGGGCTCTTTGCTGGGAAGAGAAACAAGAGGCGTTACTCCCTCCGACACAGGCAGGAGCACAGAGAGTCCCCAGACCCCGCTGCCAGCCACACACACAATGTCCCGTTATTCGCATCTTGCACTAGGGCAGCGATTTTCAACTGGTGTGCCGCCAGAATTTCTAAAACATGTTACTACCTGACCAGTTAGTCAGGGGCACTCACCTCTTTTGCCTTACATGGTCAAATTAAAAAATGACAACCACAGCTGTCTGGTGTCAACGAATCAAAACTATACATATTTTTTTTGTCTACGGCCATACCACCCTGAACGCGCCCGATCTCGTCAAAACTATACATATTTTTTGTCAGATTGGCAAAAAATGTAATTTTTTTGGTGTGCTGCAGAATATTAGTAGTTAGTTTATGTTTACAAGATCAAAAGGCCAAAAGTTGCAGCATTAGTGAGATATATTTGCTATAATTATTGAGCCAACACTGACACATTACTATCACCTGAAATCCAGTTTCACTATTTGTGTTGCATAGTTCTGTGCAGTTTGACAAATGTGTAATATCATGGATCCACCTTAACAGTATCATCGTCCCAAAAATCCACTGTGCTCTTATCCATTCAACCTTTATCTCCCTCCTCCTTAATCCATGGCAACCATTAAAATCTTTTTACTGTGTTTGTCGTTTTGCCTTTTTTAGATTGTCATATGGTTGGAATCAGATTGTCATATTTCGCTTAGCAATGTGTATTTAAGTTTCCTTTATATCTTTTCCTGCCTTGTTAGCTTAATTTCTTCAAACCACTGAATAATATTCCACTGAATGGACCAGTTTGTTTATTCATTCACCTGTTGAAGGACACCGTGGTTGCCCAAGTTTTTATAATTATGAATAAAGCTCCTATAATTGTGTGCAGGTTTTGGGTGGACACCAGTACTCAACTCAGGATCCCGCTGAAACCCTGCCGTGTACCTCTCTCCCCAGGAATATGGTAACATTTCAGCTTTCTTCTCTTGGTTATTATAATACTCTGGGCATGCTCTCATCTAGTCTACATCTAGTCTACAGAACTACTGAAGGGAAAGGCCATATTTTATTAATCCTGTATGCTTAACGACCAACCGATTTTGTTAAAATGAATGAATAAGAAAATTAGGAAAAGTTACTCATTCTACAATATTATATAAATTAAAGAGCTATGAGTCTGTCTCTCTGATTAGGTTCTGAGTTATTTCTATTGTGATTGCCTAGCAAGGCATCTGACACTCTAACAATGCCTGTTAAAACCAATGCTGTGCATGTATTTTCTATACACTGAATCTATAAGCTAAGAGAATGTGATATATACGGACCCATTTTCTACCCAAGAAGCTTAGAATCATAGGCCTTGGTTTCTCTTCATTCTTCAGTAGACTTCTAGTGACCTACTAGTAAATCTGACCCAACTCCACCTCACGGATCAAACACTGAAAAAAATGTTTCAAAGACATGATCTCCAGTTACTGCTTTTCTAGTTTCACCTCCTCTCTGAGAAGAGCAGGGCATCTGAGGAACCAATGAGTAACCCAGGAGACCAGCAAGTCCATTTAGCCTGCCCCAGCGAGACCTGGGGCGCCATCAAAGGTGCTTCAGTGTCCAGCAATAAAGCACCTTCTTTAAAAAAAAGTAATTGATTTCAGAGAAGGGAGAGGGAGAGAGAGATAGAAACATCAATGATGAGAGAGAATCATTAATGGGCTGTCTCTTGCATACTCCACACTTGGGATCAAACCAGCAACCCAGACATATGCCCTGACCGGGAATTGAACCATGATCTCCTGGTTCATTGGTTGATCCACTGAGTCACAAAGGCTGGGCCTTTTTTTTCAAACAGATGCCAATGTATGCTCCCACAATTCCTCATCATTGAAATCCAGAAGATATTCACAGCCATCTAATGGCATGTAATATTCTCCATGGATAATTCCAAACTCTAAAACCAGGCGTTAGCCTTTGAATGCCTGGTCAAAGGTTACTGGTAGAGTCATTTTACTTTTACCGATGGATGGCGGGAGCAACAGGTCATTGAATGGAACCCATTCTCTTCTATTAGTTATACCCAACCCCTTGCTGCCCACATGCACCTGCATTTATCCAGTAGACTTAAGAGCCACAAGGATTACTGGTCACCAATCTTACTTTTCCTCTCTTTGGGACACACTGTGCCCTAACCAGTCATGCTGAGAACACTTGGGAATTCTTCAGCCAAGCTAAAGCAGGGTCCTGGGTTCAAGTTCTCACTCCTGCCCCCGAAGAGCTACTTGAGTAACTGACACGCAGTTCTTTGTTCTAGACCCTCCTCTCTGCCTGGTAGAATCTGCAGGCATTCATAAGAACATTATAAACAAAGGCCTGGGCCTAAGAAGTTGTGGAAGCATTTCTATATCATGTTTGTTAAAGAGAAGACCACAAGCCAGTGTCACAATACCCTTTTTCCTCACAATTCCTGACATATCCTATTTGTTACAAAACAAACTACCAATTATCTGACCTGCTGGCAAGCACTCAAGCTTCCAAAGAATCCCTGGAAATAAGTGAATGAGAACTTGACATCAGAAGACTTTATAATTCCACGCTGGAAGTCCAAACAAACAAAAGAATCGATACACAATGGATGCTTTTAAAGACATGCTGTTCAACTAAGTGCCTTATGGAGCCCACAGGTGAGGGGCCTTTCCACCTAAACAGAGTCAGCAGAGCGTTTTGTGAATGTATCCGGCATAGATTGGTAAATAGATTGGAAATAGATGCCTGGAATCTAGTTGAAAAATGATAGGAATTGGGTCTTAATTCTTAACAATTTCCTTAAAGTTGATGATGTTATACAAATCCTTTGTGTGAAATGATCTCTCCATGATGCCAACATTTTTATATAGGGAGAAATGAATTTAGAGTTTGGATGATATTGTAGCTCCTAACCATCATCAATAAAACAGATGCCTGAATTTCCCTATGAATGTTGGTGATATTCGGGGTCTATCAGTAGGAAGTATTTATAAGGGTTAAATGCAACCACTCCATGACAACTTCATGGGTAAGTGGCTCTCAGCATTAACACCCCAATGCGCACCGGGCACAATGGTCGAAAATGCTCCCAGACATCACGATTCCAAAGCCCAGAGACCCAGGTCCCTTTGTTCTAGGAGCTGGGGTAGAACTGCCTGGGAGTATCCATGCACAAGGCCTAAATTCTACCGAGAAAACATCTTGGAGGAGGGAGGAAAAGTTGCGTCCTCATTCTTTGTGAAAAATGATCCCTCTACTTCCTCTTCCTGTGGATTTTCTCCACCAGTCCAAATAACTTCACTTCTCTTCACTCATCTCCAATGAATTTCTAGCCTCCCAGTAAAAGTAGTTCTGCTCAGAACCATATCACAGAACATAAAATGACTAGTGGTGGTGACCGCACAACATTATGAATGTACTTAATGCCACTGAATTACATATTTTAAAATGACTGAAATGATGAATTGTGTTCTGTCTATTTTGCCACAGTAAAAAAAAAAAAAAAAAAAAAAATGCAGAGGAAAGGGGGGAAAGGAACTGAGGAATAGGCTTCACATTATAATCAACTGAGGAGGGTCACTCACAATAGAATCTGCTTACTTCACGTTAGATCTTAAAACAATATTGAGGGGCTGGATCTGGCTCAAGCAGAATGGCTGTGAAGAGGAGCTTCCCATGAGAAGAATGTGTGAACAGCCACACATGTGCACTAATATTTCTCAGCACACAGAGCTCTTCTATGTGTCTGGCAAAAAAAAGTCATAAAATAAACATTGGTGGACGTAACCACAAATTATACATTTGGTGCAGGCTCTGCACTGAAAACCGATGCTGAGGTTTAAAAGCTACCAATCCACTAGCCCCTTATTGCTAAAACAAACATGCAAGTCAGTCAATAAAACCTGAAAGGAGGGTAACAGTGGCAATGGTATAGATTAAACTGGGAGAATAGATCCTGAGGAAAATTTAACTGTAAAGGGATTTTTTTTCAAATAGTAACTTACTTTAAGATAGACACACACACACACACACACACACACATTTATATTAAGGCTACATGAGCTGTCATATATAAGGAAGAAAACCTAATTATTTAGGCATCATTTGAAAACCTGCATTTGTTACCAATGGTTTAATATGAAAGGGAACTTATGACAAATGAATTAAAAACATTGTCCCTGCCAAAACCGGTTTGGCTCAGTGGATAGAGCGTCGGCCTGCGGACTGAAGGGTCCCGGGTCCAATTCTGGTCAAGGGCATGTACCTTGGTTGTGGGCACATCCCCAGTAGGGGGTGTGCAGGAGGCAGCTGATTGATGTTTCTCTCTCATCGATGTTTCTAACTCTCTCTCTCCCTTCCTCCCTTCCTCTCTGTAAAAAATCAATAGAATGTATTTTTTTTAAAAATTGTCCCCAAGAGTTCGAACTGGGAGAGTGCAGGCCTTGAGGATTCCCCAGCCTCTAAGAAACTGTGGCCTCCACACACTGCCCGCCTTGGCTAACATATTCTCTAAGGGTACTCCTCACAGAAAAAAAGCCAGGTGGCAATAACGTGCTATGTTTTAGAGAGCAAACCAGAGGACAACTACATAAGGGAATGTTACCACCTTCTTCTCGTTGGCCACTTTTAATTATGCTCCAAAAGGCATTTGGATTTTAATCCAGTGGACAAATAAATTGGCTGACTTCAAACCGTTATGTCCCTTGGCTTTTCGCGCAACCCTACAAAATTAAGTTTTAGGAGGAGGTTTGCATTCTTGGGGGAATGTCTGGCAAGTAAGCTCTGAATAATAAACAGTATGCACATTCACATGCAGCTCCAAGCTATTAAAAACCGAACCAAAGTTGCTTTAGTTTATGGTGCTCTTAAAATATGTCTGTGCCTTCGGGTAATTTCTGTCCCATAAAGTTTTATGGGGGAGTAGATCTTTTCCTCCTCTAAAAGAATAAAGACACAATTCTCCCTGGGTTGG